GCATGATGTGTTTAAGATTTCTTTTTATTTAAAGGTAGAGTTGGAGATGCAAGATGTAAACAGCAACATCAGGCCGATTTCTGTAACATCCAAGAGCGTTGAAGCCTGAGGCTAAACTTCTGAGCTGATTTGGTCCTATAGCTACCACGTCGTAGCAGCGTGTAGCCTCCTGTGCACAGTCCCGCGCAGATACTCTGTAGTCTTGCATTACTGATAGGAGAATTTAAATGTTGTGACAAAAATATTCGGTGTGAAATGTATTAGAATAATAAGACTATAATCTAGTAATGTGACAAATTAAGATTATGACATGGTGTTACTATTTAGCAATATGAGTAGGAGTTAGGTCAGACAACGAAGGAGAACTGTAGACAGACAACTTGTGACAACTGTGAAACCAATAATAGGAAATAGGCCTCCCAACTCAGGGAGGGGAGAAACCGTTAGGCTCGGAGAAGATTATGAAACGTTGCAGATTTGAGAAATAACTAATATGTGTAGCGTGGAAAAATACAGCCCGCCTAAAGCAGGGTGGGATTTTTGTCTGACGTATAAAAGATGGACTCTGGACTTGAGAGGGCAGAGCGCTCTCTGAATGAAGCCTGATAATTGTAAGCTGGGAGACTTAGTCTGTCTATTAGAGATTTACAACCTCTGGGATACAGATTGAGTAATATAAGAGTTCAGTTTTGAAACATTGAGAGAGAAATCCTCGTTACAATTACACTCATCTGAATATCTGCAGTGCTGCTCATGGCAACATCATATCGCTGAGTCTCAGTGTAAGTTATACAACATTTTAATAGGTTTCTCGGTGTTGCTCTGTTTGACATTGAACATTGTCCCCTATCATGATAGAGGATAGAGATGTTACCATTGTGGACATCTTTGGGTGAATTGTTAATCTTTCTGTTGAATCAGAAGGCCCATCACAGTGTAGGCTTTGATATCATATGATTACACATCAGACCTGGGTGGAAAATAGTGGTATTTTGTAGTTTATTAGATACTTTTTTTTACATAGTTGAGGTAGTTTCATGTGAAGGATCAACTAAAGGCAATTATTTCCTTTGATATTGAAAAACAGGTATCAGAAAAAACAAATCATATTTTAAAGTATTTTGAATACTTCTCAGAAAAACAAATACGTTTTTTTTTAATATATATATAAAAGTTATAAATACAAAAAATTGACAGCACTTTATAATAACACCTTGTAATGAAGAATGTATAATGGATTAGAAAAATAGTTTATTCATAATTTATTCATCATTACTCCCACATTTGTAAATGTTAGTAAGCTAGTTATTTACACATTTATAAACAACTTTTAAAGCTGAGATCCTCAGTACTGGGAAACAGTGCTTTGGCTGCCCCACCACCGTTGCTATTGTTTTTGTTGATGAGCTCAGGAATGTCAGGCAGTAGGATTTTTTTTTTTATCTGTACATATTATTGTGCTCTTCTATCGTGCGTACAATGATGTCCGAGGTGAAAAAACTGTGTTCATTGTTTTCAATAACTTATTTGTTGTTGTAATCTTGCACTTTCTTCAAGCACTTTTTGATTGCAAATAGTTTTGAATGTCTATGATATCATACAGTGCTTGAAGAAATATTGCTCGTAACAGGCTATCATCCGCGTTAAATCAAACTTTGTTGGGGTGATTTTAATCATACATATTTATTATGTGTATTTGTATGTCATAATGAACAAAAAATCTTCAATAAATTGATTGACGTTGCCATTTTACAAGTATATGAATTTAAGTGTACTGTACATTCAGATGTTAGTCATATATTTAGTGAATATGGCCGAAATCTATTATTACCTCAAATTATTACCAAAAAATTAATATAAAATGTAAACGTTGACTGCATTTACACTTGTCCCCTTAGTATAACTCTGCCCCACAATGTCAGATCATCACAGGGTAAAGTGCTTATTGTTCAGAAGTGTCCTTTTGAGTAGTTCGAGGGGACTTACATTGTCTGAGAAAGGTATTTTCATTCGCTAATACCAAAGTTTGACCAAAATGATGGGAAATACGCTTTTTCTGTGTATATGCAGGACTTAAACCATTATGATAAAATGTAAAATATGTTTGTTCCATAGTCTAAGGATACATGTATGATCAAATAGTCAGTTATATTGATATTTTCAGTAAATTTTGTCAAAATATTTGACTATCCTATTTGGGTGCTTGTACATTTTACCCCTTAAATATGACATTAGGCCTACAGTTTTCACATCTCTGACCCAGAAAGTCACATTCCTACGAGGTAAAGTTCTCCTGGTTCAGTGGGGTCTCTTGCACTTTCCTCAGAGGGATGATGGGAAATATCCTTTGTCTGTGTATATGCAAGACTTAAAGCTTTATGCAACATTTTAAAGTAACTGTAAATATGTTTACTCCATAGTCTAATTATGTATGACATGTTTGAATGTAGATTGTTTTTACTCTTTTATTCTAGTTTCTGTGGCTTGAAGCATGACTAGTCAGTGACACCATAGAGAGAAGAGAGAAGGAGGTGGATTCCCATTGACCATGGCTTCCCATCCAGAGGGAATAGAAAGTAAGCTCATCCTACGACTACTTGAAGTGAATAATTACAATAACACAGATTCCATTGATTTTTCATTTCATTTCATGCTCATTAAATTATTTATTTTTTGGGGGTTGACAGTGAAATACTACCCAGAGGCTTCCAAACTCGACCCAGGTAAAGTGCATGTGTCTGTCAGCCGTCACTAGATTCATGTGATCTTCATCCCTAACAACTCTGAACCTGTACAGCAGTTTCTCAAGTCTTTTTGTCAGGCCAATGCAATGCTGTATAAACTTAGGCTACATTAAAACGATTCTAGCTAGCTAGGCAGATGCACCCTACTGCTGCTACACAAGCAGAGCCCACAATGGATGGGAAATCAACCTAATCCACACATACGTACTTGTCAGTTAATAGTACACTTTTATTTTATATCACTCAATTATTCAATGAATGGTGGCCAATATTGAAAGAAAGAGAGGTGTAATCGAGCTGTGTTTTTGCTCTGTAATGCATGAAGCAGGCTGCTATTTACTTTGACTACATATCCATAACGCATTTATTACACATCTATAAGCGGCTCATGAACGCGTTATAACAGGTCCCAACCGCATTACTGAAGGTTAATGAAATATATCTATAGCGCATTCATGTCATGCTATGCAAGAGCTCATAATTAGGTATCTTAATACTGTAGATGCATTATTACAATGACAGCATAGTGTTATCAATAGGGCTGTTCTCAAAAGTGTGCTTCTGCCATACCAGTGTTAGTGAGTATGCCAAAAGGCCAAACCACATTTTGAAAGTTGTGCTTATATATAGCCTGTAACCGCCCCATTTCCCCTTCCAGCCCGTGATTTTACATTTTAGCAGACGCTCTTATCCAGAGTGACTTACAGTTAGTGAGTGCATACATTGTTTTTTATTTTAATTTTCTATTTTATTTTTTGTACAAACATTTTTCCATACTGAAGCACAATTTTGAGAACAGCCATAATGATGACACTACGCTGTCATTGTAATGATGCATCTATTAAGATACCTAAATAAGCGCTTGCTGCATGACATGAATGCGCTATAGATATGCTATGGATATATTCCATTAACCTGTAATAATGAGGTTGGGACCTGTTATAGCACGTTGAGGAAATGCTTATAAATGTGTAATAAATGCGTCATGGATATGTAGTCAAAGTAAATCACTACTGAATATACAGTACTTTGCAAAAACAAATGTAGACATTAATATATCTTCTATATCTTCCAAAATGTTTTAAACAATGGGGGAGGAGTACAAATATGGTGGTGCAGTGGCTTCAAAACAGCACCCCCTGTCAATCATCTAGTGTTTATATACATTAATGACAACTTCACTGAGTTTCACTGTTCTTATTTTAGGTCCTCTGAAGACATTACTCCACAAACTTGGTCTGGATAAACAATATCCTAATAAACTGACTCTTAGATCTTTGCTCGAGATCAACAAGGACAGTATATCTGATGAACCTGTTGACTCACTCAAAGCAGTACCATGGTACTTTCTGAAGAAGCTATTGATTGTCAATGCAAAATGTAGGAGTTGCACATGTTTACCCGTGGATGAAAGTAGCATTGAGCTTGATGACAATACAAAGGATAATGAGGTAAATCTTCTAGATCTCATCACTGCACTCTTTCTCTGTGCTGACCGTTTCCTGCAGCAGGAAATGGCCCTCAAGATGTCCATGTGCCAGTTTGCTGTGCCACTCCTGCTACCCCCAGGGCACTGGCAGTCAGAGCACCCTCATGTTGTGGGCCTTGAGGGGTATCCTTAAAGAGTGGCGTCCACATTCGCTATCGGACCCAAAAGGGTTTGAGGAAGGTAATATTGTGCTTTTGCAAATGCCATTAATCTCCTTTGTCAGGCTTCAAGCCTGTAGCATGTCAAAATCGCAGTTTTTGAATCATGTCCTCAGCAATGACCAACAGAATCACAACATTTTCGCTCACAAAGACATGGATGGAGGGGCAGCTCCAAGGACGATCTCAGATGGCTTGGTAGAGGCTTGCTGGTATCTTCCATGTGGAAATGGTGATCACTTTCCGGAACCGCTAACCGTTGCTAATTTAAGAGGAGACATTTGTGCTTCACAAGCACAATTTCGTTTTCTAACCCAAGTGTCAACAGCCATCTTCGTCTTCCTGGACAGTGTTGATGAAGATGAACGGAAGTTGTTGCTCTCTCTTGGGGACATGGGATCCAAGCTGTTCCTCGTGGTCATTTCCAAAGGAGAGGTGAGCCGTAATGTCAACACATCGGTAAATTAGATAATGGATGAATTCAAACTAAAGTCAAACAAATTACTGAAGCGGAGACCAAATGTCAACCTTGCAAGATTCTCGCATCAGCTCACCAAAGCCATGAAAGATATGTTGAAGGAATCTACTTCAAAAATAAGCATAGAAAGTATGTCAAACAAAGCTATCGATCTGGGGTCATCTGTTGATGAATGCAAGACTGAGGCCTCAAAATCAGCAGCTGAGGAGATTCTGAAAGGCATTGGAGACCAGAGCATAGTGGATTACAAGAGGAACCAGCTGCCATTGCAAGGTGAACACTGGAAACAATTAGCTAAGCTAGAGAAAGAGGAGTGCAGGTTAAAAGACTTCAGAGAAAACAGACTAGAAGAATACAAGGCCAAACTCCAGAAGAATCAACTGAACATTAGAAGAGAGCAGAGCAAGTACAAGACTACCAAAGCTATGGCAAGCTTTCTAGGATTCCTGGCAACAACCGATAAAGAGGAAAAGGCCTTATTTCTGAAATGGTTGCAACTCAAGCTTGATATGCGATCACGGAAAGACTTGGCATCTCTGCGCAACAGATTCAAAGAACGGTCTTTGGTGAATCAAGATAATAAATGTTTGGAAGTGCTAGATCAATGTCTTTTGGACTCGTCTCTGGGAGTCGAACATTTCATGAGAGAGATGGGACAAATCTATGAGGCGTCCAGGCTTGGAGATCCCAAAGCATCAGCAGAACATTGCCCTCTCCCTGCCCTGGCAGCCGAGCTGCTGTTGGATGGCTATCCATTTGAGCTTTTGGATGGAGATGCCTCCAACATCCCAGAGAAGTGGGTGACAGATGTCCTGATGGAGCTTCACAGAAAGGTGGGAGAGAAAAGCAAGCTGCTAGTACTAACTGTATTGGGGGTACAGAGTACAGGAAAATCAACGCTGCTCAACACCATGTTTGGTGTGCAGTTCCCCGTAAGCAGTGGCAGATGCACAAGGGGAGCATTCATGCTTTTCCTCAGGGTGGGAGAGGATATGAGGGAAGACCTGAGTTGTGACTTCATCCTTCTAATCGACACAGAGGGCCTCAAGTCACCAGCTCTAGCACAACTGGATGAAAGCTGTGAACGCGACAATGAGTTGGCAACTCTAGTGATCGGTCTTAGTGATATCACAATCATCAACATTGCCATGGAGAACTCAACAGAGATGAATGACGTCCTGCAGATAGCTGTTCATGCCTTCTTAAGGATGAAAGAAGTTGGGAAAATGCCAGTTTGTCATTTTGTGCACCAAAATGTGGCAGGAGTGTCTGCACACAACAAAAATGTGACGGACAGAAAATATATTCTGGACCGACTCAATAAAATGACACAGATTGCAGCTGAGATGGAGAAGCGGCCCTCTGTAAATAAATTCACTGATGTACTGGATTATGATGCAGACAAAAACAACTGGTATATTCCTAGGCTGTGGCATGGCACTCCACCAATGGCACCTGTCAATACAGGTTACAGTGAAGCTGTTTTGGATCTCAAGAAGAACCTTCTAGAAGTTCTTAAAACATGCAGATATGAGGAACTTTCACAGATCCCAGAATTCATTGAATGGATGAGGAGTTTGTGGAAAGCTGTGAAATATGAGAATTTCAGTTTCAGAAATACTCTTGTTGCTCAAGCATATGACAACCTCTGGAAAGAAATGATGGAATGGGAGTGGGAATGCCGAAAGAAAATCTATACATGGCAGACTAATGCAGACCTACAGATCTCAAACATTGAGGTAAACAGCTTTGACATCCAAGACTTCCAGAAATTGGAGGAATCTTTTAAATCTGAGGCATTGAAAATGGTGGCAACTCTGGAGAAAGAGATGACAGAGAAACTGTATGCATACTACAAAAGGAAAGACAAAAATGTATCTCTGATAGAAAAGAACAAAATTGATTTCTTTCATCATATTCGAGATGTTCACAGAGATATCTTAAACACGGAGAATAAAAAACTTAACATGGCCGTAAAGCTTAAGCTAAGTACGATCATGGCAGATGACATTCATAGAAAACAGAAAGTCAGGATTGAACAGAAGGTATCGCAGCTCCTGCAAAACTCCAATGACAGCAAAACCCCACTCTCAGACGAGCAGCTGAAAGATGAGTTTGGGAAGATGTGGAGCCGAGAAATAGTGAAGATTTCAGGGTTGGAAGAGCGTGACATACCTTCTTCTGTTTTCAAGCAGTTGAGAGACGCTTTCTCAAATCGCAATGTGAATGAGGAGTTTCAAAATGTAGAGAATCTGACAGCCTACGGCAAGGAGCCTTTCAAGGCCAGAGACAGACACATTTGTACCATGACACATTTCAAACTGAAAATGATGTTTGCAAAAGAAAAGGCTAAAGAAAGTTTGCAGAGATTTTCAGAGAGCGTTATTGATACCTGCACAAGGTTTATCGTAGATTCCACAAAATCACAAACAGATTACCATGACTGTCTTACAAAAGAAGTTATTGAGAAGATAAACGAATCTCTGATAGAGAACTACAAGGACCTAAAAACAAATACAAAGTTTGAGGTTGACCTGAAACTGCACATATGTGGTATTGCCTCAAGGGAATTCCTTCATATGCACAGGAATTTCCTTCTTCGCAAAGATCCTCAAAAGCGTCTGGAGGAGTCCAGGAATCAGTACTTGTCTGATTTCATAGACGTATACAGAAAGAGAGACCATTGCCGACGCAAAGCACAGGATTTCGCTCAGCACGGTCTCCGACCAGCGATCTTACAACACATCAATAGGTTCCTTGGGACTGACATTGTAGATGAAATGGTGAAAAGTAGCCATGCAGCAGAGTACAGCTCACGGTCATCCTTCCAGTACTCTATCCTCAAGGAGCTGCTGGAAAAAGATGACTTTCAGGCCTTTGTCAAATACTTTCAGACGTACGAGATCTATGTTAAAGATTTGATATGCCAGCACATTAAAGAATGCTTTTCAGCTGAGATGTCTTTTGTCATGTTGAAAAACAAGAGGCTGAAGGAGATCATTCAAAAGATAAAGGAGGCCATTGAAAAAGCTAGCCAACCTCTGCCCAATGACACTACAAGTGTCACAGAGTTTCTGAAAAACCTGTGCAAATATCTTGTCAAAGACATCTCCATATCCATGGACGCTGTGGACGGGTTCCTCTTTCAGATGACTACTACCTGCGATCCTTTCACCACGAGTCTCCAAGAGTCACTGAGTGACTTGAAGCAGCAAATGGAAGATGAATTCTCGAAATCCACTGACGTCATCGAATCCCTTTACACCCTTCCCATCAAACCTCAGGACGAGTTCTTCAAGCGGGTGTCGGGTTGTGCGAAGCAGTGCCCCTTCTGCAAAATGCAGTGTGATGCTGGAGGTAAACAGCACAGAGAGCATCACGCAAATGCACATCGGCCACAAGCACTGGGCAGCTACAGAAATAGTCACACTCAAGAACTTGTTGAAACACTTTGCACAACTGATGTACACAGTGAAAGATCGTTCAGATGTGAAGCCACTGACTGGGAGTTACACCCTTACAAAGACTATCGTACCTATTTCGCAGACTGGAACATCCAACCAGACTCAACTGATGAGGCTTCTGACTACTGGAAATACGTCCTGGTGACATACAATGACAGGCTGGCTGTGAAGCACAATGCCAAGCCAGCTGTGATTCCAGAGGCATGGAAGAGCATCACAAAAGCACAAGCGCTGGAGGGATTGAAGGTAGCTTTCAGTATAAAACAGTAGGCAGTAGCAGAATGACACCTGAGTGCCAATATGGGCGCCGACTTTCATTTATGAAAAACTATGTTCAGAATGTTATGCTGTGTAAGTCAAAATCATGTTGTAAGATTTATTCCCTGAACGATAAGGAGATGAACCATCTGTCACGATCGTCTAAGGAGGAGGACCAAGGCGCAGCGTTGAAGGTGAACATATTTATTATAGGAATGATCACACGATCAAAACAACAGACGATAACGTGATGTCTACGGTTTAACACAAACCAAATAAGAACAAGAAACCACAATGAATGAGTGCCAAACGGCTACCTAAGTATGACTCCCAATCAGAGACAACGAGCTACAGCCGTCTCTGATTGGGAGCCACCCTGGCCAACATAGAAAAGCAAAACTAGACCCACAACCTACAACACAAAACATAGAAACTAACACCCTGGCTCAACATACGAGAGTCCCCCGAGCCAGGGCGTGACACCATCTCTGTTCCAGGTACATAACCATGTCTAGACAGGTTGGCCTCCCACTGGAATTACTGTCCCATGCACCTGATTTATCCTCAATGACAGGAAGCTAAATTACTGTAAAATAATCCCATTTATTTAGCTTTCTAACATGCATATCTGTCTCACTGTCCTAGGTAATATTACTGTAAAATAACCCTCATGATTAAAAATGATTACGCTTTGTAATAGTCTAATCTGTCTCACTGTCCCAGGTAATGGCATGTTAAAAATAATTAGAATAATGTTTAAACTTACTTTGAATAGGTTAGAGGAATAATTCCTTGGGGCAAAATTAGACAGATTTATTTGTATTCATTTCTTGTTCATTTAGTATTTTGCCTTTATGGCCTCTCTCTCACTCAATTCCATTAATTGTTTGCTGTTTGGGTTTGTTTTGCTGTTGCTTTTGTTTTTATTTATTGTAAAGCAACTTTGGGTTTCAGAAACGCGCTATATGAATACAATGTATTATTAGTAGAAGATGGCGATGACACCTAGAATCTCTACAATGTTCACAAATGGGAAGAAATAACATGACTGAAGATGGAACTGATAAAGTGGCACTACCACCATAATTGAGCAGTTCACCCTGAACATATCATCTTACGTCTTTTAATGGAACTGCACATGTTGAAATATTGTATTCAAGACATGATTCAATTGTGACAAGGGGAAAGTTTTTTAAACAATGTGTTAAAAGCTAAATATGCTAATTAATTCATAATGATTGATTATATTTTATTTGAGAAGGATGATACTAAGATGAATGTCTGTACGGTATTGGTGAGGTTGTACAATAATTAACGGATTTATGAAATTATGTTAGTCACTGTAGTCTTGAGAAAATATGCTGAGTGAAATAAACAACCTGTTCATTTACTTTGATTTAAATAAATATATCTCTCCTTTATCTTCTTATCTAATCTCTCTCTCTCATGTTTATGTCAAGGGATTTGACTTTTGTAGTTCAGCTTTTGTAGAGGACTCCCTCTACTGCTCTATTCTGGTTACTGCATGTCAGTAATGTTACTCAGTACAATGTAGCTTAACAGAAAGTCTTACATACACATTAATCCTCTTCACATTTTACATTGAGAGATCATCTGCTCAGCAACTGTTTTGAAACAAGACACCAGTCTTCACCGTAGTCAATAAATGATAAATGATTAATAAAACACCAACTGGAGTGCAGTAACTAGTCACCTAGACATGTAGCCTGCATTACAATGACTGTAGGTATAGTCTTCATAATTCCCATTCCCATGAAATGTATCTACATCACCTATACATGTATGGCCCTGTTACATGACTCACAACACTGCTTTGCTCACTACATCAATGGGTTTGTTTTGCGTTGTGTCTGCAGCACTGGGGGTTGGTATGAATTCATGGGAGGGAATAAACCCAATGGCTTTTACATAATACAACAACATTGATGATCTCAGCAGGGACAACAGGAGGACTTATACATGTATGAATAATTCTAACAAACTGTTAAATTATGTTTATAAGTAGTTTAGAACAGGAAGGGTTACAGTAACGGTTATACTGAAGTTTGGAGCCACCACACGACATCTTAATGAGTGCATAGTTTGGCAGGGATGCCAAGGATTGAGTCAATCACAGATGCAGCAGAGAATCAGTTATCATTACGACATCTGGAAAGCCTAACAAATGTACTGATGATACGATAGGAACACCCAGAGCCTTCTATTAGGTAGAGTTGAGTTGAGTTAAAGGAGCAATCTGCATTTCAAACAATAACAACGCACACATCCTGCCACTGTTTTGGTAAAAAGCTGAGGGATGGGGCTGCAGAAATGTAACCACTCTCAGATTAATAGACAGAGCTATGGATGCAAAGACTGACCATCCATGATATCAACATGATAGTTTTAATCCCTGTTTTGAAGCTATACAGTTTTTGTTTACAGTTACATTGTTTACAAACAATGGAGTAAACCAAGCTTATATTTTGTGTTCTGATGGGGTACAACAGTTGATCTGAGTTCATGAGGCATTAATAAGTTATATTCTTCAATAATCAGTGAGTATACAGTTGGGTACTCATCATCCCTACATAAATGAGAGAAGATTCAACACTGCTGTAAATCATGTTCAGTCAATGATTGGTGGGTATGAAGACCAAAACAATAACATTGTTAGAGGTTACTTCCTGTACCGTTTCACCAACCAATAGTAAGTGGTAAAACAGGGAAGTGGTAAGTGTGTTGATATAAGCTGGTAAGGGGTAATATGTTAGGAATGATATGATTGAATGTCTGGGGTGTACATTTGGCCAGGACATCAGGATTTCAAATGTGGGTCAAGGCACTTCATGAAAACCGACATTTTCTGTTCCTGGGACAGAGCATTAATGCATCACACCCAAAAGTGAGAAAATAACTGTTAAAAATCATGTTGCATCATGATATATAAGGGTTAATCTTATAAGCATGTGTATCTGCACTTATTAATGGTTAATAACTGTAGATAAATATTGTCTCACTATTTGGCAAACATTGACCAGTTATTGCACTATTTTGACCAATGCTGCATAACAGTTTGTTAATGGTTTATAATGCATTTACAAATGATTAAATAACTGTTAATGATGTAATTACACTGCTCAAAAAAATAAAGGGAACACTAAAATAACACATCCTAGATCTGAATGAATTAAATCATCTTATTAAATACTTTTTTCTTTACATAGTTGAATGTGCTGACAACAAAATCACACAGAAATTATCAATGGAAATCAAATTTATCAACCCATGGAGGTCTGGATTTGGAGTCACCCTCAAAATTAAAGTGGAAAACCACACTACAGGCTGATCCAACTTTGATGTAATGTCCTTCAAACAAGTCAAAATGAGGCTCAGTAGTGTGTGTGGCCTCCACGTGCCTGTATGACCTCCCTACAACGCCTGGGCATGCTCCTGATGAGGTGGCGAATGGTCTCCTGAGGGATCTCCTCCCAGACCTGGACTAAAGCATCCGCCAACTCCTGGACAGTCTGTGGTGCAACGTGGCGTTGGTGGATGGAGCGAGACATGATGTCCCAGATGTGCTCAATTGGATTCAGGTCTGGGGAACGGGCGGTCCATAGCATCAATGCCTTCCTCTTGCAGGAACTGCTGACACACTCCAGCCACATGAGGTCTAGCATTGTCTTGCATTAGGAGGAACCCAGGGCCAACCGCACCAGCATATGGTCTCACAAGGGGTCTGAGGATCTCATCTCGGTACCTAATGGCAGTCAGGATACCTCTGGCGAGCACATGGAGGGCTGTGCGGCCCCCCAAAGAAATGCCACCCCACACCATGACTGACCCACCGCCAAACCGGTCATGCTGGAGGATGTTGCAGGCAGCAGAACGTTCTCCACGGCGTCTCCAGACTCTGTCATGTCTGTCACATGTGCTCAGTGTGAACTTGCTTTTATCTTTGAAGAGCACAGGGCGCCAGTGGCGAATTTGCCAATCTTGGTGTTCTCTGGCAAATGCCAAACGTCCTGCACGGTGTTGGGCTGTAAGCACAACCCCCACCTGTGGACGTCGGGTCCTCATACCACCCTCATGGAGTCTGTTTCTGACCGTTTGAGCAGACACATGCACATTTGTGGCCTGCTGGAGGTCATTTTGCAGGGCTCTGGCAGTGCTCCTCCTGCTCCTCCTTGCACAAAAGTGGAGGTAGCAGTCCTGCTGCTGGGTTGTTGCCCTCCTACGGCCTCCTCCACGTCTCCTGATGTAGTGGCCTGTCTCCTGGTAGCGCCTCCATGCTCTGGACACTACGCTGACAGACACAGCAAACCTTCTTGCCACAGCTCGCATTGATGTGCCATCCTGGATGAGCTGCACTACCTGAGCCACTTGTGTGGGTTGTAGACTCCGTCTCATGCTACCACTAGAGTGAAAGCACCGCCAGCATTCAAAAGTGACCAAAACATCAACCAGGAAGCATAGGAACTGAGAAGTGGTCTGTGGTCACCACCTGCAAAACCAATCCTTTATTGGGGGTGTCTTGCTAATTGCCTATAATTTCCACCTGTTGTCTATTCCATTTGCACATCAGCATGTGACATTTATTGTCAATCAGTGTTGCTTCCTAAGTGGACAGTTTGATTTCACAGAAGTGTGATTGACTTGGAGTTACATTGTGTTGTTTAAGTGTTCCCTTTATTTTTTTGAGCAGTGCATAAACAATGTATAAACCCTAAACAAACGGTACCTTATTGTAAAGTGTTACCAATTGAACTACTGTTGGCTATTTAATATAGGCTCAAGACTTTAAAGTAATCTCCATCTCACTCATCACTTCTGTGTAATTTGACCTGTGTGTAAACATTGCTGGTAGATGCAACTAACATCTACTGAGGCTCAATCAAAGGAAAAAAAGTACAATAAAACACACTGTAAGTTTAGGATGGCCTATTTCAATATAATCTCAAGATTACTGCAATTTACCCAGCATTTTCCTATTGCTCTGTTTACTGTTT